ATTATGTGTTTTCTACGCTAACATCTTCAGGACTGGATTTGTGGGTGTCTGAGGAGAAGAGGCTCCCACAACAGGAAGATGCACCAGCACACCCAGTCCTTCCCCTGACAGCTGCATTTTCAGCCATCCTTCCTGACAGCTCTGGCTGTTCCTCTCCTTGGTCAGCTGTCAGTGTTTCCACATCAGAACCATTTCTGAGGGGAGGGGGAGATTGTCTGCAAAGAAACTAAACCAACCAAACAAAAAAAAAACCAAACCAAAAGCACAAAAACAAGGGGGAAGGAAGTGCACACAACATTCTGTGAGGAAACTCTGCAATGCTGCAATGGCTGAGGATCTGGGAGGGATTTTGTGTCATCCAGAGACACACACAGAGTGCAGGGTTTGTCTGGTTTCCTTCAAAACTGGAGACAAACAAATCAGATGAGGATCAAAACAACTCTTTTAAGGCATTTTCTAGGTGAGAACTTACCTGCCCACATCCAGCAGGGCCTGGAGTCCTCCCAAAGGCACTGCCCACCCAGGGATGGTGTTTTCATTCGCTTTGCCCAGAGGATGCCAAGTGAAGAACATCTACTTGCCACAGCTGTAATTATGTAGCTTCATATTACTGATTAGCTCATCAAATTAGTCATCAGATTTGTTTATGCAGTGGTGTTGAACTCAAGTTTGTGGTGAGATTTGCACCTACTAGTACAAGATCTCAGTTCCTCACAGCTTAATATTTGAGGTTTGACCAAAATAGTTCTCTAAATTGGAGTAGAATTAGAGTGATAAGGTATATTTATACTGGACATTAGGAATTAAGAAATTAGGATATTAGAATATTTAGATTGGATGTTAGGAATATATTAGGCATATTTAGATTACACATTTAGATGGGATATTGGATAGTCCTGATTGTGAGGTGCTGAGGTTGCACAGAGTGCCCAGAGCAGCTGTGGCTGCTCCATCCCTGGAGTGTTCCAGGCCAGGTTGGATGGGGTTGGAGCAGCCTGGGCTGGTGGGAGGTGTCCCTGCCTGGGCAGGGGTGGGATGAGATGAGCTTTAAGGTCCTTCCAACCCAAACCATCCTGGGAAACTAAAAGGCTGGTTAGCTCTAAGTATTTATTAACACCTTCAAATATCTGTAGATTTGATAATCTCTCTTTTGGACTATTTTTTTTAAATTGTATTGCTGCTAAAAAAAAAAAAAACAGCATTGCCACATACTTCCTTAGTTTCAGCCACATGTCACTTGCATTATATGTCTAGCAAACATGTGGCTGTTTGACACCAAGCAGTGATCTCACTCCCTTAGGAGAACTGTGCTAGAAAAACTACCTGAAAGGAGGTTGTAGCCAGGTGGGTGTAAATCCCTAATCCCTAGTAACAAGCAATAGGACAAGAGGAAATGGTCTCAAGTTGCACCAGGGAAGGTTTAAATTGGATTTTAGGAAAAATTTCTTCATGGAAAAGGTTGTCCAGCACTGGCACATGCCCTGGGAGTGATGGAGCCACCAGCCCTGGAGGTATTTAAAAAACATGTAGATGTGGCACGTGGGGACATGGTTAGGTGGTGGACCTGGGGGCACTGGGTTAGTGGTTGGACTCGATGAGAGATCTTTTCCAAGCTCCATGAGTCTATACTACATGGCAGCATGGTTCTACCACACATCTCTCCTGTGAAAAACTGCTGAGGATGTCAGGTACATCTCACAACTCCAGGCAACACTGACCTGTATCCCAAACTACTGTTCCTCCTCCCACAGCTTTTTCCTTCTGCCCACTGCCCTGCCTGTCATGGCTAAATGTACATGGAATATGACCAAAATCTTATGAGTCTATACTACATGGCAGCATGGTTCTACCACACATCTCTCCTGTGAAAAACTGCTGAGGATGTCAGGTACATCTCACAACTCCAGGCAACACTGACCTGTATCCCAAACTACTGTTCCTCCTCCCACAGCTTTTTCCTTCTGCCCACTGCCCTGCCTGTCATGGCTAAATGTACATGGAATATGACCAAAATCTTCAACATCAG